CTAACCTACAACTTACAAGCATCCTTGTTTACATATATATTATTATGTAATATATTACATATACATAAACTAGCTGTACTATTTAATTTTTAATCAATCTTTTATTTTTTATTTTTACTTTTGTTTTCAATTAGAGTGAACCTTTATTGATTTTAATGTTGTTACTTTATTATTATGTTATATTATAGTTGGTAAAACTGTTAATTATTATACATATTGTAATTGATAATTCAGATTGTGTGAGCGTATGCATGCATGCTTTAACAATCCTAAAGCATATTTGAGATATTTAAAAAGTTCATTTTTATTTAGACCTTTAAATAGGTTTTCAAACTAAATCAAATTTTAAAGAGGCTTAGGTTTGAACCATGAAAAAAAAAAATCCTTATATAACTTTCAGGTTAGGCTCAATCTTCTAATCTATCACACATACTCAAGTGTATTTAACAAAGTCTAACTTGACTTAGCATGTTTTCACCTCTACCCCAAGTCTGTCTAGTATGAGTAAATTGTTATTATAAAACACTGTATTAAAGTTAGATCTGTCATTTGAGTAATATACACTAGTTTTATTTGTCACGTTAAAGGCTGAGCGGAAGGAAAATTGTATATTTTTGTATATGATATAACAATTTCAACAAGTCGCGTCAGGGTGAGCAAGCCGAGCCCATATTTAGTAGAGGCAAGCTTATCATAGATGAGAAGCCCAATCCAGTAAAAGGACTCATGAGGGATTTTGTGTAAGCCTGAATTGCCTTAAGTTTTTTTTTCCTGGAAAAAACATCACCAAGTACTTTCAGCTTTTCTCATCATTTTTTTCCCTTATTGTACATGCGTCAATGGAATTAAATGTTAAGTAGTAACTAGATAACGGTTTGTAAGATTCAATTGAGGAAAAATCCTTAGATATACACAGTGCATCACATCATCCATACTATATCTAATCAAAATATAATATTTAAATAACATTAAATATAAATTAATTCTAATATTAATGATAATAGAAAAAAAGTAAGAAACTAAATAAGCATGCTATTATAAAAATAAATTTATTAAAAAAATAACACCTAATATTTAATTTAATTAAATGTGTGTAATTTTTTTTGAATAGATTATGAATAATGTGATGCATTGAGTTTATTTAATTTTATTTTTTAATTGAGTGTGGTTTGTGATTCTATTAAATTTTTTGTGATAATTGTGAAAGTATTTCAGTTTTCCTCAAAATAACAAAAATCCTGTCTCCCACGTGCAAAGAGAGTGGGAGAGGAACTGAAAACCGCAAAATTGAGTAATTTGAAAATAGAGAATAATCTTTTTGGATTACAAAATTTGAACTTGTGAACTATTTTATAGTTTATAAAAAAAATTTATTTGAAACATTATTTTTTTAAAAATGTCCACCTCTTTTCATTTATATTCTTGAATTTTTCTAGTAACACATACATAATATTTAAATATGAGTCATTTAAAGATGATAAATAAAAAAATAGGGGTATAAATGAAAAAGGATATAAAACTTATTTAATATTATATATATTTTTGGCCTGAATTTTAATATTCTATATTTTGAATTAAGAGATATTTTTAAAAAATTACTTAACTTATATTATCATTTGGAGGGTAAATGGACACCGCTCAAGCATTTGAAATTGCTGAGACCTCGAAATCTGCAAGGTGAGTGGCGTCTAAGGGAAAGAAAGATTGAGTTCACTCCGGCTCTAGTGCTTTGCATCAAATTACGTAGCCCACTTCATTACGAGAGGGAATGACTCCAACGTTATTTTAATAAGTTAACAAATAAAAATGTATAATGCATTTTCATTTGGATTCTTTTTTTTTAACCTTTTAAAGGCAACAACGGAAGTCTTATTAACTATAGCGCGTACATCAAGGACTTTTTAATCAAAGCAAGCAACCAAAATGCTTTGCCACAATATCAATTAATTAAAATTAATATTTACACCGATTCTATATAAGCATTGTCGCTTATCAGCAGAGAATACTATAAAAATCATTTATTATTAGGCATTATTAGAAAGATTAAAAATCTCACAATGAGAGACTGAATTGTTATCTTTGACCACGTTTATAAAGAAGTGAATAGATGTACTGATCTATTAGTTCATCGGTCAATACATTACACTTTTAACATTATGATTTTTGATTTTTCTCTGATGGACTGTAATAATCTTATGATTTTAGAAATGATTAGACCATAATCTTTTTGTACAGTTTTGCCATAATCTTGTATAAAAAAAAAAAAAAAAGCTTTGCCAGGCTATCTCCATTGCTTATGGAGTGAGAAATGAAAGTGTGAAAAGAGATATATATGAGAACTTGAGAGGGATGTGTTGCTAAACAGAGAAAGAATATATTGGGAAATATTTACGGTACACATATGATATGGCTCTTCCCAATCACATATTGAGAAATAATTGTTTGACTTCTACGAATTAAAGAATTGCGCAACTACAAGTCTATTCATCAATCAACTTCAATTTTATTTCAATGAAACCGTTTTGTGAACAATGAAACAAAATCAGAAGAAAGAGAAAGAAAATTCAAATTATAATTCTAAAAATTTATGACATATTTTTTTTTTAATGAAAACACCAGTTCTCCCGAAAAAGCTGCGGTCGCATTTGTTTAAAATTGTCAGTATATAACTATTTTAACAAACTTAGAAGATATTTATTCTTTGTTCTTTCTTATATTTGAGCTATCTATATAAAAACTGTCCATACATAGATATTTTAGCAAAAAAGTAATGAACTTAAATCTTGTTCACAGATAAAAATTAAAAGGTGATGCCTTGTGAATGAAAATAAGTCACGTTTAAAAAATTGTTCCCAATTAAACTTAATAATACTAAAATATGACTAATGATGCTAGATACGAGATGAAATAAAAATTTTGACAAAAAATTATATAAAAGATACAGATGACAATATGAATAGTCCGTCATCCGTCTTAAATAAAATAATTAAGTTAAATATTAAGTTGTTGCGTACAATTAAATAATCATTAAAATAATTAATTTTAGTTTATGTACAGCTAATGAGCATATTTATAATAATAAACCCACCATTTACAATATTGTTTTAAATTTAATAGTATTTGATATTTATCATATGAATTATGCATCTAATTTATTATTGCTTGTCTTGACATTGGAAGGATGATAATGGTAAATTTACAGTGACATTCAGCCCAAAAAAAACAAAAAGGGTACACTAAAATTTAAATCCCAGTGACCGTTGTCTTAACATTGATGTTATGTTTGGATGCATATGAATTTAAATTTAAGTCAAATTCATTATTTGAGCAATTAAAAATTGGTGGATTTGTATTTGACCAAAATCCAAGCTCAAATTTTAACTTAATTCCTTTGTAATTTTAAATTCTTTTTAAATTTTTATTATTTTAAATTTTCATGAAAGCTTCTATCTTTCTTTATATTCATTCATCAACTTTGCTACATTCTTAACTTTGACATTATTGCCTCTAGCAGAGTTCACCGGGGTCGGACTGCCAACATTTATTGGGACTAGATTGCCAAAATCAATGGGGACCAAACATAAGGTAATGACCAAGATAGGAATGCCAGTGTCAACTTGAATTGGACCGCTAGTGTCAACCAAGATTGAATGGACTACGGGCACCAACTGTGATCATATGGCCAACTTTTACTGAAATTGGATAGATAGCATCGACCAGGATCACACTGCCAATGTTGATAAGGATCGGACAACCTACTTTGACCAGATTGGGTAACTAGCTTTGATTAGGGTTGGACCTCTGGGGCCCTCCTAGTCCGCACCCCTGACACCGACCGGGACCTAATTGCCACACTAAGTTTAGGATCTAATGGCCAACTTTGATAGGGATCAGATGAATGACACCGACCAAGATTAGATCTCTGGTGCCAACCAAGATTGGATTGCTAGAGCCTACTGGGACTGGATGGCCAACTTTAACCAAGATCGGATGGCTGGCTTTGACTAAGATCGAATGCCGATGCTAACCCAAATTTGACCACCTACAACGATTAGGACCACCCTCCTATGCCACTTTATGCCTATTTACCGTCGTTGTCATTCGATGTTGGTCCAGTGCCATAATTCGGTGTCAGTCCACTACCATCTTCCAATATTAGTCCATTGCATCCAACTGGTTTTAGTTCATCACCATTGTTTGGGATTGATTTGTGATCACCATTTTTGATTCACTCGCCTTTGTCATCTGGCACCAAATGGTTGTTGTTAATAGGAAATGGTCTGGTATCATCATTTATGTCCAATTTGTAGCCCTTATACTTTTATAATAGGATAGTTAGAGTCGACTGAGACTAGGTTGCCACCTTTGATCTCGACTAGACTGCTAACTTTTACTTGGACTATATCATTGATGTCATTCGAGTTGCTTTTAAACTTAAATATAAAATATAAAATTTTATTTAACATCTAAATAAAAAATTTTAATATTATAATTTGAAATTTTTAATATCATCCAAACAAAAATTTTAAAATCTATGAATTTCAAATGTGAGATTTTAAATATGAGGTTTTAAATTTAAATTTTCAACATAAACCCATCTATCTAAAAGCAACCTGAGGGAAAATGAAGTAGTAATATTTAATGACCATGCACGTAGGCTCCTCCGCAAGTAAACTCAAACTCTTGAAGATGTCCTTTTTCTGTATGATAGAGACGTTCATCTCAGAAAGTGGTTTCTCTCCGGAGATCACCCAACTCAGTGCAGAGGAAAGGCTTTATCAAGGCGGTGTGGTTGACCCACTAACTTGAATGATCCATTCCCTCACTACCCAGCAAAAATGTATATCACATAAACGCACACGTTTTATAATGCCGATAGAGCTTTTGGACCCCAGAAAAATAATAACAACAATAAAGTTTGATTTGTCGTTCTGAATCCCACCATTGCCATGCACTATCAACTAAAGAAACCTTCACAACTGGTCCTGTGTACGTGTGTATTGATCATATAATATGAACCTACTTAATTAAAATGTATTGCCCTACTGAAACATGTGCTGTCTTTGCTTATTACGAATATTTGTTGGAGGAAGGGACGTGGAACTATGCAAGCACTTGGCTCAGAATCATCTTTTACTTTACACTGAACTTAATCAACTTCAGTAGCTCAGAAAAACTACGAAATTGAACTCACTCCTTTGCTGTACACTACATGTAAGTTACATAGGAAAAATCTCAATCTATATCATGGCAATTGTTCTGTCATGAACAGAGTTTGGGCAATGATCTTGAATAGCCGTGGCCTGACGATACTCTTGATTTCATTATCTTTGCCATCTGGGTTTGCAATTTCCTGCAGATATTCTCCAATTCTGCAACCCTCCATTTCATTCCTTGCAAGCTTGCTGCGAATTTCTTGTCCTGGACTGGAACATCAAATTCTCCAGTATACAGCATGGCCTGTTCCTTGATTCTGTGTCTTGTTCCTCTTCTGTCAGTGTCACTGGAACTACGTGGCGAAATGGTGATTGCAGCTGCATTGGGGATGCCGAGAATTAAGTTCTTGAGCTTGGATTGTTGAACCATAAGAGCCTTAACGGCAGATTTTGAAGGGAATTTTCTGTTCTGAGACAGATGCTGGCATGCCTCGGCTGAAAGCTTCTCATAATTTAAAACACTGCATATCTTCAGCCTTTCTTCCTCTGACAAATCCGCGTGCACCTATAGTCAAACACGTTTAAGTAGGCTTTTCAATTTTTAAAGTCATTCTTTTGAGATCACAATAGTATTTCCAGACAATAATGATAGAATGGACAACCACATGACACTGACAGATTGGACATTAGAGACTTCCAAGATTAAAATGACCTACTAACAAACCCAAAGATTGGTTTAGCTGTAAATGTCATCACAAGCTTGAATCCTTCGTATACCAATTCAGGAGAAGAATAAATGAAATATGAACCAACTAACCTCAAGATACATGTCCATTGCATGATACAGTTCATCATAGGAGTCTCTTGCAGAATCTGGTAGTGCTGAGGCAAGAGCCAAGAACTTGGATGTTTTTAAATAAGGATCAGGGGCTATTTCAGCTATATACAAATCTATAAAGCTCGCAACTTTCTTCATCCGAGAAGGAGCAATCAGACGGGTCCCTTGAAGCAGGAATGCCTTCAAGAATCTCAGAACAAGATTCACGTCGTATAAGTAGTTTATTCCATAAGGAGATGGAACAAGCAAATTGTCCAAGGTTGCTTGATCCAACTGGGCGCCAATCATATTCTCCAATTTGTTCTTGCTAAATTTGCTTATGTTCAAGTTGAGGGTGATTCGGAGAATCCCAAATAAAGTCTTGCAAGAGAGAACTCTAGGGTCCATACTGTAATGCATGTCTATGACCATTTCTATGATCTTCCTCTTCTCATCAGTTGTGGCAGAAGAAAACTTTGCCTTCTGGTAATACATCAGAAACCTGCTGATTATAACTTGGTCCAATTTACGCCAAAGCATAGACTTCACCAGCATTTGAACCAGCAAGGGACTGAGAAACATAAGGTCTTCAAACCACCATGTTGAACGAGAAAAGGCAGTCTTTGTACTCTCAATGCTTTTGGAGTCGCTGGAACATCGATGCCCAGAACTCTCAGAGGAACAAGAAGATGGACATGGGCTCGCTTCGCTGGTCAAAACCAGCCTCCCAACTATGGATTCCAAGCATTTCTCAAGCATCATAGTAGAACAACCTGCGACTAGAGTGAAATCTTGGCACTGTTTCAAGGCTGCTAAAAGGTTGGACCATGTCCAGTAGCCAATCTCTTGGAGTGATTTTTCTGTTTGCTCCAACAAATTAGGACTCTTCCCATCAACGGACTCTTTCATTTCCATGAATTTTGCAGCAGAGTGTGCAAGGAACAAATTGAAAGGAGTTATGCCATATTTTCCGTTGTTGTAACAAAATCTCAATACAAGCTCAAAACCTGATGCCCCTCCTGGAAAGTCATGGAATATTACTTTAAGCTTTCTATTAGGACCGCTATTTTTCCCAAATAATTTAATGAATTTGCTAGAATAGTGAGCAACAATATTCTGCAAGCACCCATTTAAAATGTGAAACAGAGTTAGATGACAAAAGAGATTCTCTCACGAAAGAAAACATCTACAATTTTTTTTTTCTCTATCTACACATGAAAGGGGAAATCTAGCATCGAATTAAACCGGCAGAGAGAGACGAGAAAAAAATTAAGGAAAAAGGAAAGTTGCTGCAAAAGAGTGGACCGGTGATACAGGGGTTGTTATGAACAATAAATTGTGCATTAGAGAGAGACAGAAGGATCTCCATCAACTAATAATCTAGCATAGAAGCGTATAGAGAGAAATAAATGACCCCGAAAGCAACCCTCAGTCACTCGCAAAAGGAGTGAATAAAACAAATGAAGGTGAGAACATTAAAATCCAGCATTTAATGCGATATGCCGCAAACAAGAACAAAACAATAAACCACATAAGAAGAAAGAAAGAACCAGACAAAGAATAAGGTCCTCTGAGCTTGCGGTTTGTAAAAATGGAGATGATAATTAAATAATTATTGCCCCACTTCACTGTCATGCAGGTGCATATTAATGATGGACAGAAAGTTTCAATTTTTATCATAAAGTTACTAACGAAATGATAACGGAAGAAAGAAGAGATAAATTACAGCAGAATGCATGGATATTGAATAAATCCTTGAACAGTATATAAAAAAAAATCATTGAACAATAACCACTTCTGGCTTTACTAGCAACAACAAGTAGCACGTAGATAAACAATCAACCAGAAGATTGAAAGGACGAAGTTTCTGGGTTCTGACTATAGCTTAGATCCTAAACCTACGCGAAATCAAAATTTGAAGCAGAGGTTCTGATAAACAGAGAAAATGCTTACTTTGTTAACCAGGAAGGTCTCCTGTCCATTTATATCGACTTCAAGATCACAGCAATCTTCCATGACTTAAGCAAGAACGAAAACCCAAAACGAACCCACCACAAATCAAGAGTAGTGAACTTTTTGGGAGATGCGTAATAAATAGAAAGCGAAAGAAGCCAAAATATGGGGGAGGGAAGGAGGAGAAAAAAGGACGCAGTGCAACCAAAGAGCAGATTCTGAGAGAAAGAAGAAGACAAAGAGGAAGGAGAGGGCGAAGCTAGAGAGAGACAAAGAGAGTGAGGCAGAAAATGGGGTGGTTGTAGTTGAGTCTTCGATTGGTGAGGTGATGCGGTTCGACCATGGGACACAGAGACAAAGCAGAGAGTGCAAGAGAAGCAACACAAAGCATATAAAATCGGACAGTGGGATATTATATGTATGGACGGACTATAAGTCAGAGACGCAGACGCAGAGAAAGATTATCGAGGCATATAACAAGTATTCCCCTTGTCTGGATTCTGAATTTATACATTTTTTTTTCTATTTTTGCAGCAGGCCACCTAAATAACTTATTGGCTAACTGTTCAGCAATTTAGTTTCTGGGAAATTAGGAATGAATTATTTTAATTGGTTGTTGAATTGGTATATATACAATATGGGATTATATAATCTTTCCTAAGCGGGTCAATTAGAGCTTGTATTTCATGTGATAAATTAAGAGAAAAAGGATTACTCTAAAATGATAATTTAGATTAGCATCTTCCTTTATTTGAGGTACGTAGGCGGTGTATCTCTACGGTAAGTTTTTTAACGTGAACAGGTTATCAAGGAGCAACTTGGAGACATGATAACGGCGTCAATATATAATTAAGTAATATCAGGTTTGTTTATTCATGTGGTGATGATTAATTAATTCAATCACCGTCTAGTCGTGAAGAGTTATGATCATTAGTCCTAGGAAAAATAACTCCAGTGCTGGTGTTTAGTGGGAACAATATGAAGGATAGAAACTTCGACCAGCACAGTTTTTCAACATCCACATAGGATGGTAAACTAGGAGGATCACATATATTTTGTTCATCTAACTTAGAATGAAAAAATGCAGTGGATCACAAATCGAAAAGTTGGAAAATTATCATTATTAAGTAAATTACGGCAGATTGCTCACAACCGACCTTAGCTCAGTTGGCAGAGCGGAGGACTGTAGTGTGTAACATATCAGATATCCTTAGGCCGCTGGTTCGAATCCGGCAGGTCGGACTTTTTGTTTCCCTTCTTCTTCTTCTTCTTGTTTTTTTTGTTTTTTGGGGGGAACTTGTTAGCTTAGTATGTCCAATATGTCTCTCTGATTTGTCCACGCACAATAATACAAACTGGTATGGAATTGAATATGACCTCTCATGAAAAAGCAATATTCAGGATTGGGTGGTCCTTTCTAATTATTTTTGCCTTTCTTTTCTGTTTTTGTCTTTATTTGGTGGCAAAAAAAGATTTACACCGCAAACTGTAATTAATTTTGTTCTTGATTCTTGAATATCACTCTTCTTTAACTTCGATTATTGAAAACTCAAAATATTCAATTTGATCCTTAAAATATTTTTCCCAATTTTTTTTTCAGGATAATGCCTCATTTACTTTGTAAACATTTTATTATAATCAAGATGGATGGACTTGGAAAGAAAGTTGTAAATATATTTAATTACTTATCAGACAATTGAGTCACAGGTATGCTTGAAATACAAAATATTAAAACTTTTAGATTACCAAATTAAGTATAATTAAAGCTTGTTTCACTCCATGATATATATATATATATATAGGCTTGAAAGAATTCTGATATATATATTTATTGACTTGCATATCTGTGAGAGGGCCTTGCACTCTTGCCTGACCTTCGCTTATGCAGATGCTGTAACAAAAGGGTTTGGAAATCATGAGAGTCTGTTGCAGATTGAAATAAGAAAACAAAATATACTAAGAGAGATCTTCTTAGCAACCAAGAGAACCTCTTGCACTGAGTTCGAAGGCAGAAAACAAAAGCTGCATCAAAAGGGGAATACATATATGTATATATGTATATGCATGGCTGGCTGAGAGACACAGTTTTGACTCTTGTACAAAGACAATCAGCACATTTAACTTTTATGCCTTTCGTGTGATCTAACAGCCTCGGCTTCATCGCAGTAGCTAGCAGACGAGAATTACAATCAAAATGAAAGCCGCTTTTCCTTTCTTGTCTCTTGCTGGTCATTTTGCAGCCTTTCCATACAGCCTTCAACTTTAACTGATTTCGCTTCTCTGCCTCTCTCCCTGGACCACTCAACCAAAACTCAAATCCCTCTCATGCTAGCTAGGCCCATTTCTCTTGCTGTCTCTTGTTGTAAATTTAGTATGCTTAAGGACTCAAACCTCATGGTATATTGATCAATATTCAGAAGTTTTTTTATATCACTTTAGTACTTTCAATATTCAAATAATTGAACCAAAATTACGTGTGCGAATACTAGAATGATACAAAACTTTATATCGAGTGATCAGTGAATTGATAGGGAGGGACCAAATGAGGTTTAAGTCCTTATTATAAAGACAGCTCAGCCCACACCCATATGATCGCTTAACTCACTGGGGACCCAAGCTGTGGCGATTACAGAGTTATGGCCTTTCCATGTGAGGACCAACATATCTTCTTCTCTCTTCATTCCCCATCCACTAGCATGCTCATCAAGCAAAGCCTTAACATCTCTCACGGTTTCTTCACAAAATGGAACGTTGAAGAAGCCTCCGTTTTTCATCCTTTGCGACATTTTCGCCCCACTTTCTAATCTCTCTATTCTCTGAACCCCCTCGAAGCTGATGATGTTCTCAATTTTCTGGCCTATGTCAGATTCATACTCTACCCTGTGGTTGCTGTCTTTAGGCAAAAAGGTCTCCAAAGCATCAAAGGGTATCCACAAATAGTTGAAACAAGTGGTGATTCTTGACGTGAGACTTGGGACACTAAGATCACAATCCTCATCAACCAATAGTACTATTCTAGGGTTAAGACTTTTAATTAGATTTATGAAAGTATCCCTAGGGGACGCATCTTGGAAACTCTCCTTTCTTTCATCGGACAAGTAACGTAGCCAATTTTGACAATTTATCACCAAAGCTTCGTCTTCCCTAAGATTTAACGTAGCGGGATTCAGGTGACTTAACAATGACTCAAAGGGAAAGCAGGATGAATCATTATTAACATTGCTCAATTCAGAAGATGCGCTCCTTCGAATCACATTAAACTCAAAAAGGACCTCCCTGAACTTAGCAAAATTCCCCAGGCGCAGCCCAACTTGTTCTATTGAAATATTGACCAAAGGTGGGACAGATGGCCTACAAGAAGGCACTGTGATTTTAACCTCAGGAGGGCCTTCAGGCCTTTTGGCCAAGGCATCTATAAGTGTAGGCCACTGCATACAATGGGTAATGCTAAAATCTAGTATGTGCACTCTTTGGAATCCATGAATTGCTTTAAGAATAGCACTATTGGAAGCACAAAACCCAAACCTATGCCAAGGGATAAGATCAACGTACCCTGCAAGCTCTGTCACGGACATCAACCTTCTCTGGATGGTACTGCTTCTCCCGTTGAAGTTCATGGGGCAGACTCGTGAAGCCCTAGAGATTAAGGCTCTGAGAAACCACGAGGTGAGCCTTTGGTTGGTGTCGCCAACTGGAGAAGCGACATTATTGAGCACCCACATGACTTGTTGAGCTAAAGTTACATCGTTGCTCTCTAAAGCACTGGCACAGTGAAGCAAGAGCTTCTCTATACAACCTCCATCGAGGCTCCCGAGGCAGCCTTTGAGTGCTCCTGAGATATCAGGATTATTGTGCGGTGCGTTGAAGAGAGTTGGATATTGGAGGGAAATGGAAGTAGTGCTTCCTTTTAACTCAGTTTTCATGGCTCTAGCTTGGTTTTAGGTTTCTGAAGAGGAGGAAAAACAAGATCAAAAGTGCTTGTAAGGTTTATGATTTTTACTGGACGTGCATCGGTGCATGGAAGAGAACTGATGAGTGCAATATATGTACAGGGAAAAGAGAAGATGGAATGAAGAGAGAGGATATTGTTTTAGTGAGCTTTTTGACTCGCGCCAAGAGGATAAAGGTGCAGATCGAGGATTGAAAAGCCAGGGCTTTATCAACTGAATTTTTAGAGGCTTAAGGACATATAAACGCTTCCGACATCAGAGCAAAACCCTTTGGGTATGAAAGTGCGGTAGCTAGGGAGGAGGAGGAGTTTGAGAACATGACTTGTGAAGCCGTATATATAGTAGACAAAAGGTCCTTATATGTCATATATCTTGATATAGTAGTACGGAGACAAAACTTTGAGATTGGGTACAGTAAATAAACCTCTAGACTTTTTTTTTTTAACATATGTCCTTCTGATCAATGCACTGCAGTATAATTATTAGAGTTGTAAAAGAATATATCTGTAACCAATTAAAATTGACGTGAGTGGTAAAGACTCATCACTTAATTAAGTAGTTGAGGATTCAAAACCTAATCATTATTTATGTCCTAATTTAGTTAAGAAAGGTTTGCCCATTATTGCCATTACCTTGGGAGAGATATTTCCTGCCTCCTGTGGAGCTTGATCCTTATACTTACCAAAAAAACGTGTGTGTGTTATGACAAAAGTCTTAATTATGTGATTAATTTTAAAATATATATTTTTAATTGACTGTAGGCATCATTAAAATGCTCCTATGATGTTAATATTTTTTTAACTTACTTTCATCTAACATTTAATTACCGTGTAGTTTATTGACTTATTATTGAATGTTACTTGTCACACATCATATAGGTTAGATTTGGAAACTAATTATAACGCTCAACGCAGCATATTATTAGTTAGCATAGATATATGGATTAAAATGAGATAGAAATTAAGGATATCTATTTAGTATTGTTCAAGTGTTTTAAGCACGGCTTACTAAAATTTTATATTTTTATTAGAGCGACATTTTAATAATTAATTAACTAAATTAATGAAATGATATGCGGAGAATCAAATAGAGATTTCATTATTCGTCAAAGGCAACAATAGATTTTTTTTTCTTTGAATTATTCAAGCCTATATTTTCAAACTGTACTGGGAAATTTCAATTTGAATAATGTGATCCGGTGGTTAAGTACTATGGTTTGTAGAGGAATTTCCATGCACGCCTTCTCAAAAGCAACATAAAAGTTCTTTTTTGCTACTGCATTAGATAGATATAGACGATGCTACACGTCCCTCCAATCCAATGCATTAATTAATAGATATTTATACACGTCCCTTTGAAATAAGTTGTTGGATGGATCAAAAGATCATAAAGCTAATTTAGATTATTATACTGTTGCTTGCTTTTTAATTAGCGCTTACTTGTATTGTAGTGATAATGATTTTGATTAATGTAATATTGTTGCGGGGCTGGATTAAAAACACATGGTGGCAAATAAGTTAAAGAAGGTGTGCTATAGCCGGCCCACTCTTGTCCAATTCGCTTTCACCAAATAGCTATTTTAATCCACATCCCATATATGGTTAGTCATAACAAG